CCTTGTAATCTCTTACGTGAGAACTGGGCTGAAGTATAGCTCCAAGACCAAAGTCCTTTTTTCAAAACGCAGCAGTCCTCTATCTTAGTATCTTCCTTAGGGTATCAGTGTGAAGGTGGAGCCCCTCTAGTGAGGAGCTGACCTTACTGTTACAACGATTGTCTTTGGTGCACCATAGTCAATCAATTTCATCAATGGTGACCTGCGGGTTGCCTTAACATTATTCAGCATCGCTACCTCAAACTCAGCCTTCCCTTGTTCTTGCCCACCTCCCCCAGCAGAGGTCTCCTCCCGCTCTCTTGCATCTGCTGTTGTTTGTTACTTGCACCTGTTAGGCTCATGGTGCAGGGCAGCTGGGAATGGAGATGAAGCTTGTTTGTTGTTCTGGTCCAGTCTTGGTTTGGAAAGGCCCTGTGATCTGGCCTCAGGACAGGACTTTCTCAGGGTTCTGTACCCGGCTCCCTGCGACAGCCAGATGTGGCCTTGCATCTGTGGTTGGTTTTGTGCACAAGGTGCCCACCTCCCTTCAGTGATTATTGACTCCCCTTTAGATGTTAGGCCTGAGATGAATTTTTGCTCCTTCCCTTATATAAAGAATTTTTTCTCCTACTTTTTTCCTGATTTTCAGTAGCCATCCAAATTTGCAAATGCCCTAGAAATGACAGGTTTTGCTACCCCTCCGTCAAGGGCTTAGAGCATTTGATTCGTAAGAAAGAAGAACTACGGAAGGAGCAGGGTTTTGCATCACCCCTCCAACCACCTCCTCCCACACACACACACGGGTATGACAGCCAGCATCTCCTCCTTCCATTTCTGCAACTGATGGTGACAGTTAGTGTATCCAGACTTTTTTTTGGAGGGGTGTATCACTCTCTGAATTGCAGTAATTCATTGCCCTGGAACCTTTGCTCTCTGATCGGCACTAGAAAAGTCGTCAGTCTGTAGTTTATTTGGGTTTTCTTATTGTTAAGGTAAAAAGAACATTTTTGGACTTTCTTTCTACCTCCTAAGCAAAAGCACACACCTCCATGGACCTTTTATTTAGAAAACCCACTCAAATGTAAGACGCCATCTCTGTAAGAGCTCCATTACATCCTACAATGAGTTCACAACCTTAGTTATCTATTGAATTTAATCTAAGTTGGAATCAAATGAATTCCACTTGGAGGATCACTAGTTTTCTACGTAGTTGCACCAATGCCGTCTCTTTAGATAACTTAATTTATATAATTTCATAAAGAAAAACAAATACCATTCTCTGTATTTAAACAGCCCATCTTTTCAGAAATAAAATTATATTTTCTCTTGTGAAATTATCTATCTATGTATATATATTCAGCCATCAGTTTTATTTTTTTTAACTAAATTATTTTTCACATGTTTTGTAATTTTCATAAATTCGTCAGTACTTGGCACCATAGATAAAACTATGTTTAGCAACAAAAAAGTAACTTGAAATATTATAACAAATTCTCTATATAATAAGGTGCATTTAATTTTAGACTGCAATACAACTGACTAATCCCATAATTATTTTTCCTATAACAAAAAGTAACAATGGCAAAGGAGAGCAATTATAGGTGATTAGGTGTCCACTGAACACCTCTGGTTGGATTTGTCAATATAATACACTACGTTAGCACTGAAAAACGTTTGAAAAGTATTTATATTCAATTACTAGAATTAATCAACTTAGACACATAATAAAACCTTATATTATTTGTGATTTGTGACCTTAATGTGTGACCTTGAACAAGCCACTAGCCCTGTCTGGACCTCTGGTTCCCCACGTGCACTGGGAGAGCTAAATTCAATCTGTTAAGATCCCTCCCAGTGCTATGACTTGGGTAAAGACAGCCAATAAAATAAAATATTCTTTGCTGCTTTTTGTGCTTGTTTTAACTTTTCAATAAACTGTGATGGCTAAACTTCAGCCAAGATCCATTAAAGCCTCCTCAGGAATGCCATGATTTTAGATACTTGATTACATGGGTCTAATTTTCCTCAGGTTACAACTTTCCTCTAAGGAATGTGGATTTTGGGTAGCCTAACAAAAGTAACTATGGGGAAGTACTTACACTCCAGGCCTGACAGAGAGTGAAAAAATATTGTCTGATGCCGCTCCCACTCCGCGTTCCCTCTCCCAAGCCCCGAACTTCCTTTTCTTAGTGGAACAAAAAAAGAAGCAGTTTTATTGCTGCTGAGATGCCCCAACCAAGTGGTTGGGTGGAGAACTCTGCTTACCCCTCCAAAGGTCCCCTCCGCCTTGGCTGTGAATAAATAACGGCAATGTTGAAAGATTTCAAAAGAGATCCAAGGAGCTGCTTTCAAATTATTTCAAGAATGAGTTCCAGGTGAATGGACTTTCAGGGTGAATAACAGGTTAGTCAGGGAAGCAAGTGGGGCAACACACTGAGCCTTTGATCTGAATCTTGGAAGGGCTGAGAGGTGCAGAATTGGTCCAATCTGGAATGGCTTGAGCCCAGCCCAGAAAGATGTGAGACGGGATCAGTAAGACAGGGTCCATGTGGGACAAGGTCATCTAACCAAGGACACAGAGGACAGTGAGAAATGGTAACTCGGAAATAGCTCGGAAAAAGCTTCTGAAAATGATGCAGGTATTTGGGTTTTCTCAAGTTCTGAGTTCTATCTTCTCATGGTTTTATGGTATTAAAATTATTTTGTTAACCTTTTGTCCTGTGCTTTCTGAATATAATCCCAATTTATTTTTTGCTTTTGTGAGTTGTATTTTTTGACTACCAAAATTACACTTTTACATATTAATATTTATAAGTATTTTCCTTTTTGTCTGTGATTTGCTACTTTGTTTAGAAAATCCTCACCCACTCTTCTAAATTATATAAATGTTTAACTTTATTTTTTTCCTACATTTATATTTTTATACACCTAAATATTCAAACTATTTCCTAGACGTTTTGGTATATGATGTTAGAGCAGGTTAACAAATTGTCCTAACTCTGTTTATTGGATAAATCATCCTGATCTTTTCCCCATTAACTTGAAAGATCATCTATATTACATACCAAATTCTTATATATCCTTGTGTTCCCTGATCTTTCTTGCTGCATCATTGCTTGCTTTGTAATCACTTTGTTCCCTTATACAGAAAACTCCCTTGCAAAGGGAAAATTCCCTTACCCAATACTTCCTATCCAATTTTATTGGTGCTTTTCACAGCATACAATTTATTTCAGATGATCCTTAAAGTATTTTGACTTGTAGTTTTAAAAATCTATCCACACGTAAAATAGTCAGTTCTGACTTGAGGTAGCCAATTAAAAAAGAAAAAAATCAAATGGAAATGAGTTTAACCACATTCGAACTTATCTTTGCTAATCTGAAAGCCCTTAGTAAGCTTACTATTTATTAATGAAAGATTATTTTATTTATATGGTTTACTCTCATCCGGAAGTATGTATAAGTGTGCATTCAAGTGGCCCTAAATGTTTCTATCGAAATCAAACCATGTACCGCTTTCGACAACCAAAATGTCTAAGAGTGTATCATTGAAAGATGATTTGTTGCAGCTAATTGTGCAAAGCAGTTAGGTCAGCCAGGTGCTTACTTACAAGGAAGTAGTTGCCGTCAATACAGTATCCCCCCTCGTCCACGATTTCGTTTCTGCTGTTGCAATTAGCTACAGAAAACTGTAGTTTCCAATTGGTAAATGGAAAGTTCCAGAAATAAAAAAATGCTTAAGTTTTAAAGTACACACCATTCTGAGGAGCGCGATGAAATCAGATTAGCCGTTGTGCTATCGCAATGCTTGTCTTCACGCCGCCCTTATTTTACTGAGTAATGGCCCCAAAGCTCACGGGTAGGGTTGCCGGCAATTCGGACATGCTGAAGAGAGGTCCTAAAGTGCTTTCTTTAAGTCAGCAATTTCAGCCTTTTTTCATCTCATGGCACACATCAACTAATTGCTAAAATTCTCCAGCACACCCCCCAAAATATATTTTTTTGCCAACCTGTCAAAAAAAAAAAGGTATAATTTTGATTCATTCACACTGGATGGCTTTTGTATTGGATGTTGTTATTTTTTTATGTGATAATCTAAGGGAAAAGAGGTCAGTGCCCCCGGCTGCATAGTCAGGTTTTGCCTGTGTTAAAGATTCTTGCAGCACGCTGGTTGAAAATTGCTGCTTTAAGTGGAAAGGTGAGTACAGTACAATCAACATTTTGAGAGAGACTATATTCGCATAATTTTTCTTACAGTATATTGTTATAATTGTTCTCTTTTAGTCTTAGTTGTAAATTGCTTTGCCTAATTTATAAATGAATCTTTGTCTTAGGTAGGTATGTATGTATAGGAAAAAATATAGTGTATATATAGGGTCAGGTACTATCTGTGGTTTCAGGCATCCACTGGGGGTCTCGGAACGTGTCCCCAGCAGATGGGGAGACTATTGTAGTTTTCATCCCCTTGTATTCTTCTGACATATCCACAAAGACAGTATCTCTGGTAGAATGAGGAGGTAGCCATTTTACCTGACATAGTTTGAGAGGTATAAAGAATGTCTCTCTAGAAAAACATCTCCCTGTCTGATGCCTTATCTTTTCATTTGTTCTAGATTCCCTACCTGTAGTCTAGCCCATTGGTTTCTAATTGCTTAGTGTGAATGATTGTGTAACACCACCGGTGTCCCTGAGAAAGTAGAAAGGGACAAGGACACAGTGAATGGAAATCAGAGGAGCAAAACTCTAAATTCATTAACTTATAATTCTGCCTGGTGGTAAAAGTGATTCAAGTTTTACTTAGATTCCAGAGTTACCTATATCAACCTTGCAAAAAACATACTTTCATTAGTGTTTGCATTTTTATCCCTTCCTATTCTGGAATGGAGTATTTTCCTTTTCAGCTTTGGATGGGAATGTAAACTTTCCCAGCCTCCCTGGAGCAAATGCATGAGTGAACTTCAAGCTAAAACTAGGTGTTCTCTTATCTTTGGATGTGAAATAATTGTTGTTTTCCTTTTCAGTTTCTCCTTTGCGGCATATGTGGAATATTGTGCGCCAAAAAAAAATCTGGACTTGTTGTAAGTTTCCACCTTGTGTGTGTTGTGCGTTGAAGTATTTGAAATATCAGAGCTCAAAAATGGAATTGGTGGCTAGCCAACTTTCATATGTTGAATGATACTCATTTAGGATAAAAAGAAGGCTGACACATAAATCCTGGCTTTTTTATTTTCAAAGAAAACCATCAAGATTATTAGAGATTAGAAAGAAAGAAAGAAAGAAAGAAAGAAAGAAAGAAAGAAAGAAAAAGAGTTTGACATACTCTTTAATTACATGAATATGCAACCTTAATGACTCCTGCGGATGACAGTCTCCACTTCTCCATTTATAGACTCCCAAACATACACATGAATCCTTCAATAAGCTGAAAAAGACATAGCTTGAGTTCATGGGAAACTTAACTGTTTAAATATGGAACTGGGCCTAAAGATTACTGGCTTTGCTTGATGTGAAGTTAATTTTACACAGCAGCAAAACAGCTGTGTTGTTATAGTTACAGTTAATTCCCAAAGATTTTTTTATTTAATTTTATTTTATTGCTGTGAATGCAAACATAAGTGTTTTCAGATGTTTTATGGCACTGTCATGGGTTTTGGGGGTATGGAACACGCTCCCTGTTAACTCTGATGTCGGCTGGAGGGCAACTGCCGCGTTCTTGAGTGCAGAATCCCCGCTGCCGTCCACGGCCTTTTATGAGGGTTTGGAAAGAAGGAAAACACGTGGTTTGTTTTATTGAGTACAATAGGAAAGATCATAGACTTTTAAATATTGGCAAAAAGAATACCACACACAGGCCCTAGGAAGTGATCTTTGAGCCTAAAACAAGTGTCCAGGTGGAGACCAGTATCTGAAAAGGGCAAGGAATGAAGAGAGTAGGGCAGCTATTTTGTCTAACTCCTTTTCTAAGCACATTTTTCTCTGTAAGCATATCTATCATGACAGAAAGGACAAAGGCCCTGTTGCTTTAGACAGGTGAAATGTAATGTTTAAAAATTACATCAGGAAAAGCCTTTGGATCAAATTTTTTTTTTTACCTGGAGGATTGTAATTAACCTCTACAATTCGCCCATCACCCTTGAGACCTGACCTTCTGACCTTCTACACCTTTTCTACCAAAACTCTTTATGGCTATGTAGTTACAATTTCTTGGAACTTGAATAAGAGGAAGAGTGAGGGCGGGTGGAGGGGAGGTTGCGCTGCACTGAGTCAGCCTTGCTTTCTCAGCGGTAACCCTCCCTTTTCTTCCTCATCAGATGATCCTCTTTTCCGCCTGTTGCATCTGTGGGCTCATCGGGGGCATCCTGAACGTTCAGTTCCTTCGGGCAGTGACAAAGAAGACCTCTTCCCTCTATCCTCTGCATCTTGCCTCTATGTCTCTTGCCTGCATTGGGATTGGGGGCTGCACCCTCTCTTCATGGCTCACGTGTCGTCTAGCCAGCTATGAACAGAGGAGGATGTTTTCAGAAAGGGAGCATTCGCTGCATCACTCTCATGAAATGGCCGAGAAAGTGAGTCTTGTGCCTTGTCCTCTCACTGCTGATATGTGATGAAGACCTCAGTCGAATCTGGGTGAAGCATCTGGGAGCTTTAGAGGAGAATGTGAGAAATTACATTTTAGGAAATTTTGGTCCTATTGGACTAAAGATAGGGATTTCTTATTTTTCTATCTGCAATCCTGGGCACACCTATTTTCAACATAATTTTGTAGCCTCTCTGTACAAAAAACACAGTATCTAAAATAGGATTTCATAAAATATTAAATGCTTTATAAATATGGATTTTTATGTATTGTACTGAGGAAAAACACTAAATACATTCTCAACTCAGTGATGCCAGTTTTAGAAATTGGATGAATTCGCCTTTCTAGCCCACCCTTGTGCTTGTGAGTAGATGCATTTGATTATGTAAATTAGATTTCCAGGCATAAAAGGACCTTTTAATAAGACGACAAAAAGCCTGGCCTATCAGTGCAGAAATTACAATTCACATAAAGCTTCATTTAATTTTCATCTACAGTTCATGCATATTTGGGTAACTTTGCTTGTATTTTAAACAATGTTCTTTGCATAATTGTTGCATGAAACCCATTCAAACAGGAAGTTACATTCACCACAGAAAAGGACAAATGATATAGTGAGCTGTCTGTGTTTCTAGGATATTTTCACATATTTTTAAATCTAGTTCCTGTCACTGGATCTATTAAGGAAAAGATAAAGCATCTGTGACATCAACTCAGTAAGATAACAGCTATATCATATTTTACTTGATATCATGGGGATAAAACTGCATAACTACAGGAGAAAAAATAGCAAGAGTTACTGTTGCATATTTCTATATAATGTTATTTTGAAGAAAAAGTGTTTATTTCATAGGTTTATGTTTCTATTTTGTATACAATCTGTGCATTCAAATAAGGAGAGTGAATGCTCTTAAATTGTTTCAAGAAAGCCATTTTAGATTCATGTGTGTCCTTCAAAAAAGAGAGTTAGTAGTAGAACTAGCAAGACCGGTAATGTAAAGAAATGGGTTGTTCAAAATAGATTATCATTATATATTTGGATAGTGGTTGTTTCATGCTCTATTTTTTTTAATACTGGTGTGATTTTTTTTTGTGTGTGTATATGTTTGTACAATATTTATTGTATGATTGTTATATTTACATTAGAGATTGAGGGCTATTGAAATAACCGACTTGCCCAGCTGCCCGGTGGTGCCCCCGACACCGGAGTTGCCTACAAGGTACGCTGATTTCTAGGCAGTTACCATGTTGTACTGTCACTGCAGGAAGCGCTGCCTCTTGTAGGAAGCCATGGGGTCAGCAGGTCAGTCTGGACTGATGCTGGATGTGGCTCCTCAAAGTGTCACTTTCATGAGAGCTCCTTTGAGGACCAGACATAAACTTACATGGCAGTTTTGAAGCTTGGAAGTTGGTTGAGTATTTAAAATATTCAGCCTGCCCATAGGCATCCAAACACACTTCTGCTTGGATGATTCATGGCTCCTGTATTCTCTGCTACATCATTGATTCTGACTCAGTCTCGTCATTCTCAGACCAGAGTTTTGTTTTTAATAATAGATGCATCTAATAAAGACAGACTGTATCTCCCTCATGCCAAAACTGCATGAGCAGATAAGTCTGACACTAATGCAGTAAAAATCCTGTATGAAAACTTTCTTCTTGTAAAATTATCTGATTGATGCATTTTAAATTTATCTCCCGTATTTTGGAGTGCTGAAAATAGTCGCCATTCTTGGCTTGGTTGAACAGTATCATTGGAAATACAGAAAGTCACATATATCACTGTGGCCCAATTGCAAAAAGATGTCCATTTGCAAATACTCTCAATTGGTCAGGCTCATATTTAAAGTATAATCTTCTTGTTAAATTGGGTGTGCCTACTTGCAAATAAACTGTATGATACTCATCCACTTAAAAACTAGTTTTTATTGTTATTTTCTGTCAGTGATTTTATTGAATCTATATTAGGGTGAATTTAGTTAAGAAAATTGTTCCTTTTTGTTAAGATTTAAGAAACTGGATATTTTGATTCTGAGATAAAAGATTTTACATTAAATTAGTTTTTAATGGTTTTTGAGCTACACTGTTAATGCAATGTCATTTTAGGAGAAGAAAAGGAAACTAAGAAAGTTAATTCTTATACGTGCAGTAGGAAATTGTGGTTTTGTTCTAGCAGAAGAAATAGAAAAAGCTATATGAGTAAATTTTGTTAAAGATCACTTTGTTTTAGAAGAATTATTTCTGCTTATCTTGCCACCAACACTGAATTCTCGAATGAAACCTTAAATGAGTATTCTTATTTATTAACTTGACAACAGCCCAATAATCTCAGTGTGTTTTTCGACGCACTTCCACCTCACGGATTTCTAGCAGAGCAGGCCCCTCATTAGCTGACCCGTCACCAGACGGTAGAGACTGGCTGCTGGCTCTAAAGATGTTCTCTACTTCCTGTCAGAGCCTTGATCCCCACGGGGTTTGAATTTTTAGGCTTTTTTTTCTTTCTGGTAATTTCTTAGCTTCTTACTAGGGGAGAGATAATGGATGCCCAGGGACAAGAGGACCAGGCCCTACTGCCTGGAAGGGGCCAGAGCACTTCGCATGGAAAGACAGGGCTCGATGTAAGAAGAAGGCCTCTAATGCTGTTGTCTCCTTCCCAGAATTTTCTTGGGAGGAACTCTATCCCATCTCCTGAAAGACAGCAAAGTTTTCAAAAGTTACCTTCAAACACCAGGCCAATTCCTATTTTCAAGTGCCTCATTGTTCCTCCTAAGAATTTGCAAGTGTTTTCATCCTATTTTACCTTCTGTATTGAATTTTTAAAGAGAAAAGACTAAGAATGAGGCATGGATTACTTTTTATTTTCAAATAAATATTTGGAAGAATTTCTAAAGTTTATAAACACAAACACTTTACTTTGTTATTATTAATTCATCCAAACAGAAAGTAGATGTAAAGTGATAGGCATGAGATAATTGAGAAAATAATTTTTATTTGATTTATTCTTTACCACTCTTTTGCAAGTAGGCTTGTTCAAGTGAGGAAAGATGTTGTTGCCTGTTTTTAGATAATTCTGCCTAAATATTATTTATAATATGGTGCACTTTAACCATTATAAATGTGAATAAGCCTCACATCTCCTCTCTACCTTTTATTGCATATAGAAGACTTTAATGTTTAATAAAACACAAATTCAAAGCTTCTAAATTTTCTCAAATTAACATATTTTCTATCATTGCAAATGGAACTTTTTTATGTTAGGTCATCCTTTATATTTAAATTTACATTGCTATCCCATATAGTTTTCTTATTAACTTAGTAATTGATCCCTTAAAGCACATGTTGTGTTTTACTTTTTTTTACTGTGTGAGTGACAGAATCCTAAAAAATAATCTTTCCACTGTGATTAATTAGTGAGCCATAGTAACAAATATGCAATGGTCTCCTAGTGGGCCTTTTTCAGTTCTTAGCAAAAAGGCTGCACTCTTTCCTCTAGAATGGAGGCAACCCCTAGCTGGCTCTTTGTTGATGTGCTCAGCAGAGGAGCCTCTACATTAGAGAAACTTGGGCATGTAACCATTTTCTTTCCAGGTGAGGTGTCCACAATAGAGTTGAGGAATGAAAGGGGAAACTCAGGACTGGAGAGAGACTGCACTGTGTCTGTGGGCAGAAGACTTGGGCCTCATAGCCTGGCACTTCAGCATTTTCATGTGCCCCAAGATGCCATGAAATTTCATTTCCTCAAATGCAACACCAGTGCCAATCCTTGTCCATCCCCAAAACCCAGCAAGTTCTTCAGTGGCTTCAAATTTCTGTTTTGCGAACCCATTAACCAGATCAGTGCCTTACTCTGAAAGAAATTTTAATTAATTCATGTTATTTTCCTAACAGGAAATGACAGACAACATGAGCAATGGAGGACCACAACTGATATTTAATGGAAGAGTGTAACCAATGTTTTAAAGGGCTGAAGATTTTTTAGGATTTTCATGAGGCAAGGAAATACCAAAGGACTGGGAGATAAAAACTAAAACAGTTCTTGCATTTGCTGTTATCTCTCCTGAGCATCCACTAAAATTATTCTTCCTCAATTTTGCCTCATTTATGTCTTCAGCTTTTTTTTTTTTTTATTGGGTGAAAAACTTTCCAGAAATGTTCTAGTACAGTAATTTCAACATTTTCCAGATGGCTCTTAAAAAGACTTCTCAAGAAAAAAAATAAAAAAGAGGAACAGATAAAGCAGGAGGATTCAAGTTCTGTACAAACACTCCTTGGCTAGCATGAATGTTAGGTGTGCCATGATGTATTTCACATAAGTGATCGAAATTGCAAATGTCAAGAAATAACAATAACTTATTGAGTCTTTGTTTTGAACGACGATGGTTTCAAGAATGCCACAATTCAAAACCTCAACAATGCCTTGTAAAAACATTGTAATTATTTTCAATCTGAATAAACTATATTTCCTAATTTATTTGTAAATGACAAAAAACTTAAACCATAAAAAGATTTTTAGAGAAAGAATACTAATCTGTATGATATTTTTGCATTTTTGCACAAGAGTGAAAAGTTGTAAAGGAATATCATTTAAGGCAAATAAACGTGTATTCATCATACAGTGCAGATTGATCTGCATGTTCATGAACGAGTCTAACAATAAAAAAGTGTGCATGTGTATGTGCATGTATATACTGTAAATATTGACAATATATACAGCACATATATATGGCATTCATGAATATGAGTAGGTAGTAGAAAAGAAATTGTGATGCTGTGAAGGTATTATCAAGATTCAGTTCCCACTGAGGTGAGAAGGCAATTGTTCAAAGATTTTTTATGCCCACAAAATCACATATTTGAATTTCTATTAAATTTGTTCACTTTTATTCTTTTTAATATGTCTGCTGTGTGTATATATTATTGTGACTGAGATTTGTAGAGTTGATTGATCTGAACAGTGTAGTATAAAGATAAATTAATTACTTGACTATTTTACTGCTATTATGGTATTTATGTAATAACAATATTAATATTAAGTTATAAACATAACTTTAAATTACATACTTCCACATTCATAAGTACAGGCATAATTCCTTATGACTATTCATGATATATACATTTTAAACACTTACAGCCCAATTAAATTACATGAAAAGAAGTATGCTCAAATGAGGAAGTCACAATTAGCTTTGCTATAATTTAATTTAGAATTTTGTTTACTTTACCGTTCACAAGGACTAATATAGAGAAACCATTTTTAAGAATGCATATATCCAAAGAACCTGAAAGAGTTCTCTGTAGGAGGAAATAAAAAGATAGGCTTACATTTACATAGCAAGATTCAATTCTTCCATGATGGAATGTTAAAATCGTAACCTATGACAAAATGCATAGGCAAGAAAATAGCATGGTCTTTGAAAATATTTATAAGAACATAACCTCTGGCAACACATAAAGAACTCTGATATTTTTAAACATACAACTCTCGCTGTATTGAATACATTTATTTTTCCCCCAAAGCTAATCAATTTTCAACTCATTTTTGTGTGTTACTTATGGAACAGTAAGTAAATGTAAATCAACACCTTTAATATCCACTATGAGGACATATTATAATTTAGATGCAAAATATGGGTTTTAATTGTGCTAAGAAAATCATCATTGCAGTTAATGGAAATCTGAAGGTCCTTTAGTTTTACAGTAATGACATAATCACTTACCATTTTTAAATGAGCTCATAAAAAATTCTGGCTGTATATAGTCAAAAGAAATAGCTGTACTATGGTTGTGTGGCATAGGTTTTGAAGCCTCCCAAATCATTTGGATAACTTCATTAACCCATAAATTACAGAAGTTGCCATAAATGCAACCTCAGGTAGTGAGTGAATCAACATCAGCACTGTTCATTGGATACCACAGGCAGGAATGATCTTTGTTTCTGAAAATCTAAACTGTACAAAGCAGATATTTTGTGTGTGTGGTCTTACTGAATATATCCAAGGTTGTAGTTTTGTACTGAAAGAATAACCACTGACTCTAATTTTAGGTGGCATTTCCTTGTAGACATATTTGCACAATACGGAGTTATAATACATCAGTAAGATGTTTGAATGTCTTTGAAATAACTTATGAAATCACACTTAAAGGACAAAAGTAGGCATATCACTGCTTTGACATAGAGTTAAGAAGAAATACAATCATCACAATTTTCTAAATAGTCTACAGTAAATATAACCAAGTATAGCTATATCTTTAAATGTAAGTTATTTTAACCCGATATTTTCAGGATTCAGTTATTTAGAGTGATATACTTGGGGTGTGTAGTTGTTCTTTTTGTGGTAGGTAGGGAAAATTAGGAAGACATTATTGCAAATTTAATTTTCACAATACGTTGAACTATGAACTAGAATGTTTTTAAGTGACTACATTACAGTTTAATATAAGCCTACCCTTGGGAAAAAGTAATGTGACACTAAAATAGAAAAATTGTGTGAAACTGATGTGGTCATATGCTGTAGAGACTAGCTACAAAAGGTGCAGTTATTGGAGCATAAAAGAATAAAAATGGACCCATCTTGGAATTTTTTTAAACATATACGTGTGTGTCTGTGTGCGCACCTACACACAAATATATACAACTGTTTGAAAGTGGAACATGGTATGATGATCTATTGATATGTTTATGTAATAAAATAGTCTGTTTTGAAGCTACATATGGTGTGGGCTTTCTTTTCATCATGATACAAAACATAATTTCCCCCAATAGCTTAATGAATAAATGCTCTGTTCTGAGTTTGACAGGGGACAGGAGGCAGAGATGGTCCCAGCTACAGCAGGGAATTAAGAAAAGGTCCTATTTGACATAGGATAGGTCAGAGTGTGCCTAACTAGAGAAAGAGTGGTCGATGATACCGGACAAAATGAGCATAAATGGAAAGCAAGGTCCCTGAGGGACAGAAGGAAATAAGATCAGATCACAAGAAGCAGAATTTACTCTAGATAGGACTGAGATCACAGAGCTGGCAAATGGAGCCACAGTGCTGATGGCCCCTGATTTTCAGTGGTTCAACTTTGGATTTTTCAACTTTCCGATGGTGCAAAAGTTATATGCATTCCGTAGAAACTGCACCTCCAAGTCTGCATGTTGCTTGTCCTCTGGACTACGATATGCAGCGTGACCCTCTCTTGTGATGCCGAGCAGCAGTGACCCTCATCTCCCGGTCAGCCCCGCAACCACAAAGGCACACAGCCGATACTCTGCCGTGTGCTGCATGGCCAGTGCTTTTTGGATGTTGTGCTTTGTGTTTTCTCATCCCGTCGTGTCTACAAAATGCCCATATATGTCTCCAGCTTCTGATGAAGAAGGGGAAGGCAATTACAGCTACTCCTTCACTGATGGTGGGATTACATCCTGATAATGTAAGTATTCTCAGCACGCGTAAGGTAGTGAGGCCAAGAGCTCTGCTACTCGGTAGGTAGGTGTTTTAAACGTATCTTGGACATGATATTTTCAACTAATGATAGGTTTATCATGACCCATCATAAGTCAAGGGACTTAGAGAACTCTGCTAATCTATGTGGCTTTTTCAAATTGGTTGCTGCTGTCATTTGAGGTGGATGGGTAATTCATTGCGCAGACGGCCCTTTGCATTTCAGGTCATTAAGCACCTCTGGCCCCAACCACTGGTGCCTGAAGGACCGCAGTTATAACAACCAAAAATGTCCTAACAAATTTTCCCCTGCCTCTTTGGTAGGGAATCATTGCCCCCTAAATGCAGAACCACCGAGAAAAGCCTCCAAACATGATGCCCAGCAGCCAATGTTAATGCAGTCTTGACCTGCTCGGGGTCACGACCCACCAGTCTAAAGTCTGCCTGTATATCCTGATGCCATAGCCACTATCCTGTCTCATGTGATTGTTTAAATTTAAATATAAATCAACACAAAAACAAAGATTTAGTTTCTCAGTTGAACTAGCCCCATTACTAGGGCTAAATAGCCGTGTATGGACAGCAGTTATAGCATATGTCCATCGTCTCAGAAAGTCCTATAGTACAAGCTAGTCAAAAGCACATAGAGGGGCCCTGGGAAGGTAGCTCAGTTGGTTAGAGCATTGACCCAATACTCCAAGGTTGCAGGTTTGATTCCTAGTCAGGGCACATACAAGAATCAACCAATGAATGCATCAATAAGTGGAACAACAAACAGATCTCGCGCTCTCTCTCTCTCTCTCTCTCTCTCTCTCAAGTCAATAATTTTTTTTTAAAACTGCACATGGAGGGCAAGTGCTTCAGAAGCCTCAGTACTTATATAGGTTCTAGAACAGTCAACTAATTATCATTGTAACATAAAATGGTATGGAATTTGAAGTTGATGGACCAAATCCATCCATGGACTGAGCAAAACTAGCAAAAACTCCCCAAAATACAGTGTAAGCCAAACCCACAATAAAATAGAAAAGTTACTTTAGAGATTTCATGTTTTTCAAAAAACATCTGTTCATGGAAAGATTTCACTAAATTACTAAATATTTTCTGTTTGACAAGTAAAATGAGATGTTGTGTAACTCCAATTTTTGAAGAAATTTATTCAGCCTATTACCATGTGTCTATGAAAACTACATTTCTTGAGCTTGGGAAGGTGAGAATAATGTTATACTGCTCTTTGCTTTTTTTTATATTGATTTAGCTCAGAAGTAGCATGCTTAGAAACCATATGTCTCAAACTACTTCAAATATTTTTCAAAGGTTATTTAACAAACACATTTCAGAAACTTAGAGAGATCATCTTAAATACCATTTGGTTAGAATACAGTTTCCAAATAAAGTTTCAAAACTTGATATTACTTCACTCTTCTCTTCCTTAAGTCATTTTTCTGGAAATGTATGTAATATTTCTTGCTCAAAGTATATGACGGCCAAGAAATTCAATTATTCCAGATCCATAAATCACAACTTGTCAGTTAGTGATAGCAGAGGAAACCAATTCAGAAATTG